TCATCATCATCATCATCATCATCATCATCATCATCATCATCATCATCGTTTCAGAGGCAAAGAGTGCCACTTTGGAGACGGCCTCGAACAGAGTTGTTTTTCTAAGCTAGGGAGAGCTGGTTTTGTTCGTCTTTCAGCTTGGGCTCTAATTGTCCCTTTATTTTTCCCCAGGGAGTGCTAGAGAAGTAGACTACATAAGTAGACGGTAGAAGAAGAAGAAGACAAAGAAGAAGAATAATAAGAAAGACAACGAAATGAAAAACACTATATAATCAGGAAACACAAGAACACAGACATAGTTGCTGTAACTGTTTCCAACCGATCAGTTGTCGAACGTCGACTCAAACGTTTGGATGTTGGTGGATCGGGGTCGGATTTGCGCTTTTGGGACCCAGGGGAGGGGGTGGGAAGATGTGGGAAGGCTTGATCGACGAAAATTGCAGCCTGAATCAGGCTGAGCATTGTCCTGAGGATCGATATGAGTAGAAGCATGGAGAGGCATGAGTGGAAGCATGATGTTGAGCAACAGCATGAGGAGCAAGATGCATATGTATAGGAAATCAATACTGCGGATGGACACGAACGCAAAGATGCATGAGAACAAGCACGAGGGCGGGCCTGAGGCTCAGGACAACAAGAAACTCGATATCAAGCTGACTTTAAAAGCCTCCATCCACCTCCTGGGAAGGTGTTTGGGGTATGTTTGGAGGGTCTAAGTCCAAGTATGAAGTTGTTAAAGCCTTTGGGATCTTCGGGACGACTAGTCACGAAAGCTGGCACCAGCTAGCTGGAGTTGTCCTTGCTTTAGCAAGTGAGGGGCTGGAATCCTCGGGATCGCCACATCACGTGAAAACTTCATATGTAGGGGGCCCCCCCCCCCCTTGAAAAGTAGAGCCTACCTGTACAGGGTTCCACTCCAACAGCTGATATAGTGTGTCCATGCTTGACTGCTTCAAGGCTCAAAGAGCAAGAGGATAAGACTCTGCGCATAAAAGACACTAGCGGTCTGCACCTCTACCGTGTACGCCCTAGTCACTCTTTCAGTGGTAGCGGAGCAGTGATCCTGGAAGACCCAGGTGAGCTCCTTTCCTAGGCATAGACTTGCTAGTGGGCAAACGGCCATGGATTGGATTGACGACTGGGAAGAGCCTGATGCGGATGTGGCTTATGAGCCAGCAGCCTACGTGAATAGGCATGTGAGAAGAGAACCAGCAGCAATAGCAATGACAACACAGGTCACTACAAAGGTGCCCCCATCTTATGATGGAAAGACTTCATGGTTTTCCTATGAGGATGCCATAGACGATTGGTGTGATATCACCGAGCTGGAAGATGAGAAAAGAGGACCAGCATTGAGAAACAGATTAGAAGGAGAAGCAGCAGTATACAAACGTGTATTAGACAGAGATTCATTGAAGGCTAATGAGCCACCAGGAGCAGGAGTAGATTACTTTAAACGAGTACTACGACCATATTTCGTGAAAGGATCAACCAATGTATTCCTATACAGGTTTATGCAATTCGTGCGATTCAATCGAGGATCAGCCGACATGATGAAATGGATGACAAGATTCCAGATTTTACTCCAAAGGCTTATGAGCAGTTGGATGGACATGTTAGAACCAGTCACTCAAGCACATCCCCAAGTCCTTGCTCAGATGCAGGCAGATGCAGCGTTGACTGGAGTAGCACCAACGGCAGAAAGGATTCAGGAAATCATGCAGAATGTCAATGGCAATATGAGAATTCTTCATCAGAACGAATTTCCTCTAGGAGAAAATCTCATTGCCTTACTCATGCTGTCACTTGCAGATTTGTCTCAGGACCAGCGAAACACTTTGACTTCATTGATGACTCATCGTGGCAGGGTCCTGCAGCAGTATACTACAACAGAGTTGAGGACAGTGTTCATCGAGATGTTCTGCACAACAAAGACTTCAGTAGACAATCCTTTGATGCAGCCGACAGGTGCTGGAGGTAGAAGATCATTTCTCGTACTAGACGAAGGAGAACTCGATGGTACATTTGGCTATTGGGCCGAAGATGAAGAAGATGGAACTGAAGGATTTTTAGATGCCCTGGACGATGTCTTTTGGGTATATGATGATCAAAACTTCTCATGGTTCCAAAGGAGATTCCAAGGAAGAAGAGCCAGAAAAGGCAAAGGAAAAGGAAGAAGAAAAGGAAAAGGAAAAGGAAGATCAGGCCGCAGATTCTTCAGACCTCGTGGAAAAGGAAAAGGAAAGAGACGAGGTAAAGGCCATTTTGTTGATGAGCAACAGACAACATATCCAGAAGAGTATTTTGAAGAGAATCCTTATGAGGACACTTGGGAGTCAAACCAAGTAGCATATGATGCCATTCTTGCCGAGGATATGAATGACTATCTTCAAGGAGAATATGATGATGCCAATGACTTTTGGCAACAGCTTGAAGAAGCATGGTTTTCCCACAAAGGAAAAGGAAAAGGCAAGAGAAAAGGCAAGAAAGGAAAAGGAAAAGATAAAGGAGATGGCAAACAAGATGCAAACTATGCAAATAAACAACAGCCACGTTCTTTACCTGCACCTTCAAGAACTTCACAAGCATCAGGAGGTCAACAAGGTTTCTTTGCACATTGTGTGACAGCAGCAGCTGAAGTCCATGACAGTGAGGTGGACTTGCTGTCAGGCATGATGACCTCATGCCAAGATGAAGCTGACTGCGTGGTCAACAATGGTGAGACGATCTTCGATGACATGAGTGCCCCTGTGAGGTACTCTTTGTCAAAGGAGATGCTCACAAAGGCTCCTGATGGCTTTGCGCTTATGAGCGCTGATGGCTTTGCGCTTATGAGCGCTGAGGAAGAAGTGAAGGAGATGCAGGCTATTTCATTTTTGACTGAGAATCGCTTCCCGCCGACTATTGCAATCCTGGACATTGGATGCACTAGAGCTATGGGATCAAGGCGAGCAGTCGACCATTTTTGCAACTATGTCGACAATCACCCAGATTGTGGATTATGGTACTCCCTTGAGGCTACCAAGAGCAAGTTTTACTTTGCCAATTCCCAGAAGGCTACTTGCTCTCAGAAACTGGTGATTTACATGTATGATCGTGCATGGACGATCCACCATACAGAGTTCGACATAGTGGAAGAAGGAGAAGTCCCTTTGCTTATGAGCTTGCCACAGATGAGGAACTTAGGTTTTGAACTCAGGCTGACACCTCAACATGCTTATCTGACATCGGTGCCTCTTGGTATCAAATTTTTGGAGTTGAAGGTTGCAGCCAGTACTCATCTTGTGTTGGACTTCCAAGATATTGCATGGTATCTGTCTGACGTGCGTTGGCAGACTCAGCGTGAGAAGAGTTTTTACTCTCACCTCACTCACTATGAATATGGACATATTTCTGTTGAACACAATAGTGATGAAGGTGAAGCTGAGCATGCATATCCTGTGGTTGATTTCTGGGAAGTAGATGTTCACAAGAGAGAACTGATACGTCACCACAAGGATTACAGGAAAATTCTTTTCCCAGCAACTAAGTCCTGTCCTGTAGACACTGACTTGCTGGAAGACTTGCGACTAACAATCATCAAGAAGAAAGCAGGAGGAGAAGAAATCAAGAAGACAGATGATTGGCGCAAGGCAAAATGGAAGGACCTACAACTTGGCTATGAATGGCGTGGTAGAACAATTTTTAAATTTAAGCCAGATGCCAAAATTCCAGATCTAAAGATCAGGACGGCTGGCATTGAGCACCGTGGCATTGGTGATCCCGATGCAGTGGTGCGCTCCTCCTCAGAGAAGGTTCCCATTGCAAAGGACAGGGAACCAGGCTTCTCGTCAGAGAAGGAAGGTGCACCATCCAGTGCCGCGGAAAAGCCCGTGCCGCCAAAGTTCCGGTATACTTCCAAGGGTTTTGATCCATTTTGGAAAGGACACAAGTCAAAACCATCTGAGCCTCAGAATGATTTAAAGGGTGATGATCTTGAGGAGTATGCTCCTTCAGAACCACCTGAGAGGCCAGAAGGTGAACTTGTAGAAATTCCTAAAGCATCAAAAGGACCATCAAGTGATAAACATGAACCACTTGAACCAGGTGATGGTGCTCTTGAGCCTAGGCGGATTTCAATCCCATTACCTGGTAGTGAAGTTGTTGCAATGACACCGGCATATAGGAAGATGTTACAGAGACTGGAGGACAAGGTAGAGCTTTATAAGCTTCATGTGAAGCACTACCATATGAGTCCTACTCAGTTTCGTAGACGTGTTTCTATGTTGAAGCTTCCTGACTCTGTTTTAGAGAAGTATGAATCAGTTGTCAGGAACTGCCGTGTTTGTAACACTTCAGTGGCACCTCCGCCGCGAGCCAGAGTCTCCGGTATTAGAGCTTCATGTTTTGGTGATGTTGTTTTTGCTGATCATTGTGAGGTTGAACTTCACAAGAACAAGTATATCATCTTACTTGTTCTTGATGGTGCCACAAATCTTCTCTGGGCTACGGCACAGAAAGACCTCATAGATCAAACCACCATCCAAGCATTGAGGCAATGGTCTGATGAGAACAACTGTGTTCCAAAGGCCATCGTAGGAGACGAAGCCTTTTTCACAGATGCCTTTGTTGAATACTACAGGTTCCATGGTATACAACAATGTCCTTGTGGGCCAAGAACTCCTTGGCCGAACCGAGCAGAGACAGCTGTACGTTTGTTCAAACGTATGTGGCATGTTATGAAGGTAGATCTGGATGACCCACGTTTTCGTGGTGTTACGGTCAGAGAAGTGGTCAAGAAGGTAGTTTGGGCAAGAAATTGTCAGTTGACTATCAGTGGATATTCACCAATAGAGATAGCAACTGGAAGACGTCCACCAGATCTTTTTGACCTTGAGACCGCAAGCCCTGAGCAATTGTCAGCTAATGCCGCCGCACAAGATCGTACAAATTTGGAACTACAACGTGTGGCTTTGAGAGCTCATCAAGAAGCACGACAAGCTCAGGACCTTCGAGCAGATCTTGCAAGAAGCACTATGCCAAGTGACGGTCCTTATTTCCAAGGAGAGAAGGTTTTTGTTTGGACTCAGGATTCATCAAAGTTCAAGGATAAAGGACGTTGGGTTCGTGCCACAGTACTTGGACAAGAAGGAGCTATGGTCCAAGCCAATACTGGTAAGGCAGGGATACGTGTGAATCAGTCAAACGTTAGACGTGATCACGATGAGTGGCATGATGTTTCCATTCCGGCATTAGACGATGAGAATCCGGAGAACTTACGTGAAGATCACGAACTGTATGTTGATGCCGAATTTGGAGAACAGTCCTTTTTCTTCTGTAATGATGATCATCCTGATGTTGTTGAGTTACTTCATGGAAACAGTGGATTATCTTGGTTCCTTTCAAAGAATGGTGTTAAAGTTGCATCTCCTATGGATTTCAAGGCAGGATACAACTTTTCCACTATGAAGGGTCAAGATGGTATTTGGCAGCAACTGGAGAGATTG